TGAGAAACTTCGAATAAAGGCCATTTAGTTATCTCTGGAATGATGTAAAAACGAGCGTTCTTGCTCATTTTGCTTCCGAAAAACATGCAAAACGGCACGGAAAACAAGAAATTTTGCAATAATCTTTTTCCTAATTTAACCGACTTCGTATCTCTTAAGGCTTCGCAAATCCCCATCCGTCCTTATCTTCCGTCAATCCGCAATAAAAAACGCGAGGAGAAAAATTAGCGCGAACCACCCAACAGAAAGGCTGTGCAAACATGAAGTTGCTTGCTGAAGAACTCACCAACAGCATGCTGTGGGTACAAGAGTTAAAGAGGAAAAGAATCTACTTACTGTTGGCATAACAAGTTATAAGCATCGGGCACAGTAGTTCTGCAGAAAAGACAAAAACACCTGTTAGTAAAAACCACACCCTTCCACCAGCTACGCCACCTCCACTACCCCCTCTAACCACCAATCCGTACCTTAGCTCTCGTAGTTTCTGCTCCTTGTCCTTCGCTCTGATCAGCAATTGGTCGAAACTGGCCAGCAGGGCGGCGACCTTTTCGCTGCAGGCCTCCTCGCTGGTGGCGCTGCATTCGTTCACCAGAAGATCGTGCAGATGGTTGATCAGTTCGGTGCTCGCCTGACACTTGGCCGACATTTTCGCGATTTTCTTGCTGCTGGTGGGCAACTCTGAGGAGCCTGGCTGCGGAACGGCCGTGTTGATGAAGGCCTGCAGCTCGCTGATGTTCAGCTCGCATTCCCCAAGCGCTGCGTCCAGTTCGGCTGCGTAGGCGTCTTTTGCGCTAATCGAGGTCATGCGCTGCAACTGCGGCGGCAGCGTGTTCACTTGAACTGCCGTGTCCTGGACGAACTTCAACGTGTCCACCTGGACGCTTTCGTCGACGGTGATTTCAGTCTTAACAGTGGCGATCCTCCTAGTGATTTCTTTGCTCAGGGTCTGGTACTCGTCGATCATCTCCTGGATTTTCGCTATGTCCTCTTTTGGGCTCTTCTTCATTATCTGCAGCCCCAGCCGATCGGCTGCTTGCAGCACAGGCGTCTGAGCGGCCAGGTGGGCTTCCAGGGCTTGCAGCTGCTGCGCAGCTGCGCCGCCAGAGTCCAAGTGCTGCAGCTCCGTCAGCAAGCCGTCGATCCTACTCAGGGCGATCACCGCCTCTTCGTGGACGAGCGAGAAGTCCCTGAAGGGCGCCAGCTCGGCCTGCAGCCCTTTGAGGATGCTGCGGGCCTTGGGCAGGAGGGTTTGCCATCTGGCGATGCTCACGCGAGCAGTTGAGGTGAGTTCTTGAATGTTCTGGGGATCAGTGCCGGCGATCCGCACCAGCTTCGAGTAGGTTTGCTCGAGTATCTCAAAGGCTGGCTGGCGCGCCTCGATGTCTTTGACTGCCGACTCGATAGTGCAGACGGCTTGTTGCAGCTGCTCCTTGTCCAGCTGGGACGCGGGCCTGTCCAGCTCTTTGAGCTGTCGCTCCTTGGCCACCAGCCACTTGTCCTGGTCGTGGCTGAGCTTCAGCACCTCCTGCAGCAGCTTCCAGGCGAAAGTGAGCCGCTTCTTCCGCTCCACTGATTGGCCGCAAATGGCCTTCCACCGCTTCTCCAGGTTCCGGACGGCGTCTATTAAGCCATCGGCTGAGTACTGGGCCTTTAAGAGGTCGTCGTCGCCCAGCAGGAGGTCGCACAGGTTGAGCACCTCCGCGATGTTTCCGCTCTCGTTTTCAATGGACTTTTTCAGCTTCTCGTGCTCCTGCAGCTGGCGCTCGATGGTCTCCTTGGCGCCCGACTCGTAGACCAATGGGCTGGCCAGTTGGTGCTCGACTTGCGCGAGCCACGCTCTGATTTGCCGGACGCGCTCCTCCAACTGCCAGGTGGTCTGCATGAGCTCGTGGATCTTATTGGCCCGGCTCTTGCCCAGGTTGTCCAGCCTTTCCCAGCGCTCCTGCACGTCGTTGGTGCGGGCTTGGATGATCTGCTTGGCGGTCACGTCGGCGTATTCGTCGCCGCAGCAGTTCACCAGCTCAGTGCCCACTCGGACCAGCCAGTCGTACTCGCGCGCCTTCAAGCCCAGTTCCGCCTGCAGCTCCACCTCCAGCTTCCGCAGCAGTTCCCTGGGGTCCAGTCTAGGGCGCGTCTCCTGGCTCAGGCGCTTCTCCAGCTCGTCGGCCCAGCCGATGAAGCGAGCCTGTCTGGACTCGAACATCGATTTGATGCCCAAACGCTCCTCCAGCTGGTGGCAGATGGTGGCCAGCTGATGGTCCAGATCGCCGTGTTGATGCCACAGCAGCCACATTCTCTGGTTGACTGTCTTGATGTCGGTTGGACTGAGGCATTC